ACTGGACACAGACCTATTGACAAGTGTCCATAAGTCCACATGCCACAGGATTCATCTTAAACAACCTTTATTACCCCACAGCCTCCTGCTCAATTCTCCACCTCCTTGAACTCCTGAAAGCAACATTTTACTCTTTTTTTTAAAACATCTAACAGCATTTTATGGAATTTGAGCCTTATCATTTTTGACTGAGATGTGGTGCATTTGCTGAGGGTGTGACGGAGGCCATGGCGAATGTAAATGTCACCTCGTTGTTGGGATTGTTAATCAGAATTGGATATTAGATCGACTTTTTCCTGCAGCAAGATAAGCGGCAAACGTGTCTTTTAACTCCTGCAGCGTGATGCGGAGTTAAACTGCACTGTTCAGAAAGACATGGTTGAACATCCCTGTTGATGCCATGTTGACCACACCACACATCCCTGCCCTTTCTATCTAGTTCCCTTTGAGGTGGAAATAGGACTGCGCTCTCCTAACCTTTTAATTACATGAAGGCCTGGCAGGTCCCATTTGAAGTCCTCTTTGCAGCCTTCAGTCAGGAGTCTATGTACCAAATGACTGTATAGATTCACACTCATGACAAGTATATTCCTACCACCTATCAGGAAGGGAGGAAAGACCTTTAGCCTTCAAAGTATCCCTGAAAAGGCCAGCCCTTTTGGCAGGTTAGTGGCCACGCTGTTGGCCAGCCTTCAGTGGATTCTCTTGGAATGTCATATAGCAGTGCCAAGCTTTCACACTGGGAGGAAATTAATCCCCAAGATTATTCTGCATGGTGAAAGGAGCCTGGCGCTGCACGTCGAATTTCAAACCGTCTGGATTACCGGCTCAGTTTAGCTCATGGAGACGCGGTGGCATCTCTGAATAAACTCCAAGTTCAGGAAACCTCAAAAGTCGCTTCAAAGTCAGAGGCTGATGGAGGTTGCGGATGCTGGAGAAGGTGACCCCTCTTTCTTTCTTTCTTTCTTTCTCTCTCACTCTCTCTCTTCCTCTTTTTCCCCTTACCCCTCCCTCATGTGAGGTGGCTTGAGGACAGCGGGGTGAATATTCCCATCAATGAGGAGCTTATCAGAGTGGCAGCAGTGGTGTCTAATCACAGCCCAGCAGACACATCATAAATCCCTCCCTATTATGGATCAGGTATACTCTCGCTCCAATCCTCTCTGTCTAAAGTGACCAGGAGGGTCTCTGCTTTTGCTCTTTGGCTTTTTTCAACACTCCCAGATCGGCTGCCACTCTTTCTCATGCCCCTTCCCCGCGCCTAGAAAAGAAAATTCCGAAATGAGGCCTCTGGCAGAGAGAAAACGCTAACCCTCGAAACTGGCTGTGATCTTCATGAAGTCATATGGGTGCGCAAATTTTTACTCGGCAACACTTTTAGTGTCTTCTGCTGGGAAAACAGTTTTGTTTTTTACCCCCTTCTGTCTCAAGCTTCAATGGCAGAGGCTCAAAGAGCAGCTATTTGAATGCTATTGATGATTATGCTTTAATGGAGCTCACTTATCATGTCTAATTTAACACCCCACAGGCAGTGGATTCGCGATTCGAGATGTGCCAATGGTGCCTGGGAGAGCATGTGCTCTCAGAGAGTGGCTGTGGGATACAATACCAGTCTCTTTCCTCCTTTTGCGTGGGAGGCGCACACACCGCGGCCGGCCGCTCGGCGTGAAGTGAGTTGAGGCTGCTCTTTGGCCCTGGCCTGACTATGGAAGATTGCAGTAAGGGCCTGCTAATCATGTCCAAAAGCCCTAGCACAAGCAAAATGCTCTCGCTCGCAGCCCTTACTGTGAGGCCTGGTCAAGAGGACACGGTAATAGGGGATGTTTATGTAGGGGTGGCTATTTCCAGACCAAGTTGCGCTGTGTTTTAATAGTGATTATCATGCTAATGATGCTCGTGCAACGTTCACTCCCTTTCATCCCTGTCTAAAGTGCTCTTGCTCCTTTCCTGCTCTGTCTGTTCTTAATCAGTGCTGTGGTGAGTACAGTTTATTCATATCCAGCGTCCAGGCCTCGTGCAGGCAGGTCTGTGTGAAGTGCTCTCGGGGCTGAAGGGAACGTAAAGAGAGGCACAAGGGCTTCATTAATTCAGCTCATGCACGCTGACCCCCAAGTTAATGCCGCTATCGTTTTGGAGTAGGGAGCCGCTCTCGTGTGGGCTAACTCATGTTTAATGCATTCCTCTGGTTGGAGCGTTTAACCTTACCTTGGGGGCAGGAGTGCAAAGCGGTGACATGGACATCTCCCACCCAAGATGTGTGGCCTTCGAAAAGGCCTGGCAAGACCTCTGCAGGCCCTAAGGTTGACAAACCAATGCAACATTATTCTTATGACATTTGGCATTTACTTAACGTGGCTGGAGCCGTTCGTGTGGCCGCTGTTCCAGAGGTCTGATTTCCTGGGTGGCCCCTGCTCCCCGGTGGCCCTCGACCGGTTAGTGACTGCGCTCAGGCCCATGTCATGAATCCTAAAGCAGCCTTCCAGATTCTACCCACACATATACTACACACATACTGTAGCAGAAAAGTATACAGAGTGAGCAAATACACGTTCAGAGCGATCAGGCAGGTAATTGTACTCAAAACAGTGTTTAGAACAGATTCCTATTTACACAATTTTCCTCTTATTCCAAATATAGACGACTAGTCATGTTTGGTTTTCAAATTTGTTTGTTTGTTGATCGAGGTTTTCACTGGTGCTGTGAGGCTAGTGTAGTTCAAAAGTTGTGGAAGATTATATGCAACCAGTTAGCATCATGCACACTACAATCCTCAAACCATATATAAACTAGAACTGTAAAATGAATGAAAGCACAAATAAAACTCAAAGTAGCACTCGCTTTGAAGTGCTAACCACTGCTGTTTTTAGCTCAGCATGGTTTGAGACAAGAATATGATGATTTAGGCATGCAGTCTGCACAATGCTAACATGGTTTATCAGCTTAAAATATTTTAAATGAAAGAATGCGAAGCAAAATAGATGGAAAAGACTAACAAAACTTTTCACATCAATTCAACCCTGAGAAACAATTTCAAATCAGCTTCAGCCCTTTTCCAGCTTTTAAAATGTGCAAAAGTCAGAGACCCTTTATTATTTACTTTTCCATTAAACGGCCATAATGTTGTAAGTTAGTCATGTTTTGATATCAGAAAAATGCAGAAAACAGGTATTTAACAGAAAACCCACCCCTTTCCCTTTATCACAGCTTCCATTCTTTTTGGAAGAAGTGCTTTCAGTTTTTCAAAGAAATCTGCAGGGATATTTTTCATACCTCTAAGTTTAGTGTTAGAAGCTGGTTGCATTTTCAATTTCTTATGAATCGAGTACGCGACCCAGAAGGATAAGCGGCTAAGAAAATGTGTGTGTGTGTGTGTGTGTGTGATTCAAGTAATCACAAATATATTCAGTGATGTTGAGGTCTGGACTCTGGGGCGGTCAGTCCCTATTTCTGAAAAATAAGCAGCAGATTTTTTGTATGATTTTCAGATTTTTTGTCTATTTCCTTTTCTCTGTAACAGCTTCTTAACATCACATCCTTTCAGACCCATAGTGTTGAGTTGTCTCCTCACAGTGGAAGGATGGACAGAAACACCTCTGAATGTTTTCAGATCTGAAGCAAAAGTGTAGCTTGATTTTCTCGAACGAAAGACGAAAGCTTTAATTACTGTTTACCTTATGGTGGTGATGTTGTACCAGGTATTACACGGTTGTTAGGAATCTACCAAATGTGTATGTTTCTTTGTATGTTTTGAACTCCCATTTTGGAAATTCCTGTTCACGGCTTACTTTCTTTTGACTTTCCCCTTCCTCACGCAAGTAGATTATTTCATAATCTGAGAGAGGAAAAACTTATTTAATGGCTGTTTTAAATGGAAATTAAATAAATCTCTGTATTTTGCACAGTACTGCCTATTAGCTCTGATGCTCCAGTAAAAAACTAAAGATGCAAACTTCAGAAAGCAAAAATGTTCTGACTGATGAACTACATTTGGAGTCACAGAACAATTATATACCTTTGATTCTTGGGTGAACATTTGCTTTAATGTGAAACCTAGCCTTAAGGCCTCAGCTGCAGTTTTGAATGTACATTTTTGTCCCTGTATGGATGCTGCAGCCTATTGGATTGTGCTGGAAGATCATTTTCTGTGGTCATTTCTGTGGTTAGACAGACCTATGACTTCAAGCATATCTCACGTGTTATCTAGCTGAAGCTGTTGTGGTTATCGTGGCCAGTGCCAGGCAGATACAGTGGACTCACTGTGACAGAGAAACCAGGAGTGACACAGAGGCTGGAGCAAGAAGTCTGTCTGTGTGCTGAATAGCTGTGGCTGCAGCTTCCTGCATATTGAAATAAGAATGATAATTACTGTGTTGCCAGGACGGAAATTTGGCAAAAACGCGAAGGAGGAAATTGGTTTTCTAATCAGAATCTGACTCGGAGCGCAATTCATCCACTCTCTTTGCCTGTAAGTGCTTTTTAAAACAGTGCTGTGGATTCCAGGGCCAGTGCATTAGCCCCCTGATTTGCAGTAGTGGCTCGGGCTAGAGAAAGGGAGAGGCTGAGCCCAGGTGCTGTTGACATGCTGTAATTAATGAAGTTCCAGGGTGTGCGGCGCTGGGAGAAAGCAGTGAACGTGTTAAGGTAATGTTCTATGGGAGGCTTCACGCGGGGCTCGGATGATTTCTCTCCTCCAGTTTAAAATTCATGACTCCCGCTGTTTTATCAGCTGATTAAGACATACCTTTAAATTCGTAACCCGCTTTTTTATTTTCGGCTCTGAAAGCTCTGCGGCACGAAAAAAAAGTCTTCTATTTTTCTGTTTGGATAGCATCCACGTTGCACCTTCTTTCCATGTGCTTAAAGGTGACTATAACGGATGAATGCCTTTTTGACACCTCTGCTGTGCTGGCTCATGCTTGTTCAGCTGCATTGGGGCTTTATGTGAAGCTTGATTTGCTAACGCTTCTCTCTCTCTTTTCTTTTCCCTTCCTTTGATGCAGGAGCAGCTCAGTACCCAGGTATGCCCTACCTTTTACCTCTGTGTCTGTTTCCTCCGTCTTTGTGTTTGTTTTGCGTTGCGTCCGTCTTGTCCGTGCCATTCCCACCACCATTTTCCTCAAGCCCTTTACAGCTAGCCAAGCATCAGAACCGAAACCATCTTCTCTTTCTCCACCTTCTAGTTTTTTGTTCATTCTTCTTCTGCTGCTGCCACTGTAGCTTCTGCCTGAGCCTCCAGCAATGCTGCTGCTGGTTGGCTGGCTCCATTCTTCACCTCTGCAGTCTGCTCTAACTGAAGAGTTTCTCACCTTACAGGTCTAAGTATAGCCCTCATGCTCTCTGCTGTTTCATTCATTAGCATTTGTTTTCTTACCCCCTTCTGTCTCAAGCTCCAGAGGCTCAAAGAGCAGCTATTTGAATGCTATTGATAATTATTCCTTAATGGATCTCATTTATCATGTGTAATTTAACACCCCAGCATATGTTCATTTTGTTTATTAAAAGTGCTGTATCTTTAAGGTGTTTTCAGGAGGTGGATTATGTACAAAGCATGTGAAATTTCAACCTGCTCGGCTTGTTTGCATCACTAAAAATAGGCCTACAATGAAAACATGAACTGGATGAATAATAACCAGTGTGAAATACTTCTTGAATGCCATTGCTCATAAGTGCTTTGCTCAAGGGCACGATTTGGCTGGTAGGACGGTATGTGTGTCAGACATTTCCTGACCTGGGACTCGACATGCCTGCCTGCTTGCTGTGCTGGAAATCATAATCTATTACAATTTGCTCTCAGAACGTCCTAAATGGGCCTTTAAAGTAGGACTTCACTGGTTTCTTCAACTTTTTCAATGATGTTCTCATCCTAAGAGGCCCTGAAAGAAGGGGGCTAAGTGAATTTCTGGTATTATCATTTGTACCATAATGAGGGGCAAGTAAAAGTTAATGAAATTTTGAAAGGATTGAGAACCTCTCCTTCAGTCATTCATTTTTGAATACAAAGTCATGTAAGAGTGGTCAGAAAAGAAGCCGATTAAACTTTATACTGCATTAACAGTACCTCATCAACCCTGGTCACATTCCACAGTCGCACACAGACAGTCCCCATACGATGAAGTGAACAAGCGTTTTCGGACTAAGGAAATAGCAAAGTATCAGCACTAGTATGATCTTCTTAAAGAAGCCGTTGGTCATAATCCAGTAATTTGCTTTTTACTGAATCTAGTAGAAGCAAACATGTTATATGTAGGCATACCTCACACAAAGGATATCTTGAAGAGTGCTAATGCCTACAGGCCTGGTAGTACATAGTGTTCTTGCTGATGTAGCCTTTTTGAATGTCAAAAGTATGTATAATTTCTTGGCTTGGGCGACACCTTGTGTAAATAGGTGACTATATTGAAAGGATACACAGTAGACAGTAGGCTGTACAGAAGACTTCACTGGTGAGTAGGTGTGTCACAATTTGCAGGTTAATATTAATATTATATTATTAATAATATAATAATATATAAAAAGTTTTGAGAATTAACAGTAAATAAATAAATGTTAATGTTATGTTAGCACTTCTAATTCTGTTTCGAAATGTATCATATCATGATACAAAAGCAACAACATATATCGTGTTGTGAAGTATGTGTATCGTTACACCCCTAGTGATCAGAAACTCAGGAGATGATGGGGTCAGTTCTAGCTAGGAATGCGCCAACACCACCTGATCCTCACATATATTGTCAATACAGGGAACCGATACTGATCCTAACTCTATCTAACCTGATTATTCCACATGTCCCTATAAATCCTGATATTCATACAATTGAACTTTTTTGAAAATGTTATGCTGGTAAAAGCAGTGTTCAGTGTTACTGACTGGACAACTTTACATTTGAAAGTGTATCAAATCTCTTGCATCAGAGCTTTAAACTGTCATTGTGTCCTTTGGCATTGTTTATCTTTTAAAAGGCGTAATCAAATCTGATGTATTGGGGGCTCCCACCTGTCTAAGCATTGGCCCTATCTTTAGGAGATAGTGTGTTCGATGTCTGGTGATGCTACAGCCATTTGTGGCCCGGAGTCCAAGAGAACACAGTTGGCCTTGATCTCTGGGTGGGTAGGATGGCCCCGCCTCTCCCCCTCATCCCCCAGGTGTCTGTTAGCTGACGTAACTGTAACGGTTGGCGCTTTTCTCCGAATGTGTTCAGCTGTCCAGTGACGTTGCGTGAGCAGCACTTCGAAAAGATGCGGTAGCTGGCTTCACAGGCCTTGGAGGGAGCCTATGCTAGCCTCACCCTCCTAGCACTGGTAGTATCGTGTCATTGGGGGAGTCCTAACTAGTGGGTGGAATTGGAAATTACTAAATGGGGGATAAAATTGGGGGAAAATCCCCCCCCCAAAAAAAAAAGAAAATTATGTATTGAAATCCTTGCTGGTTCGGCCAATGATTAAAATACTGACGTTACAGATTTTGCAGTGAGCATTTTTACCACTGCTTGTAGTGTGAAATAATCCCAGATTGCCTACATGTTGCTTGCTTTATCTGAGCTCCATCTTCTGGGGCTCATGCATAGGTCACTCAGTAGCACATATCAAAAGTTGCCTCATGGTATCACGCTCTTATTGCTAATGCCGATACTTCATTTAAGTGCCCGTATTGCTGGTACAACGCTGCTTCTATCTGTTGTTTCCTGCCATTGTGCCCTTGAGGAAGGCACTTAATCCTAAATTGACCCCATGCAGTTGAATAATACAAGCAGCTTTGGGCTAAAGTGTCTGCTAAATGTAAATGCTTGATTGTATATGTTGAACTTGGAAGGCCTGTCATTTCTAAGAGAAGTGTTTAATGGACTCTCATTCTACTTCAAGTGCTTTGTCATTGGCTTTTAAGACTGTATAACAGGGAGCTAATTGTAGCCACTAGTGTAGCCTCTGCTAATGTTTCTGTGTAGGCTGTGGCATTTGTCTTGTGTGCATTGGGTAAACGAAGGCTAGGACGGTAGGCTGTGGTCGACCAAGGTTGCACCTGAGCCGGTGCGCAACCAAAGGCAATTATCAGGCTGTGTCTTGAAGTCTACCCATCACTCTTCGAGGCCCAGAGAGGAATAGCGTCAGTCTAGCACAGGCCACAGCGGTGTTAAAAGCTGGAGCTGCGCTGGAGCACAAGGGGGGCAATGATTCAGACAGTCAGCTTTATGGCCGCTAACTCTGCCTACACTGCGGCAGCCCAGCGCCATTAATGCCCCCCCATACGCACTCAATCAGTGCAAACATGCTGAGACAGGGTTGGAACACACACACACTCACACTCACATATATACACACACTTACAAACAGCTAGCACTTGGCAGGGGTCCTGTTCTCTTTTTTTTCCCCCTTTGCCTTTTCGATCCAATTATTAATCGCAGCCAAGTTATTTATACGTTTATAAATTAGAATTGAGCTGAGGAAGACTCTCTCTGGGGGGATTGGATGGGACCCAGCCCTTGTTAAGGACCCTAGTCCTTCACGGCCCTCTGCCTGGTTTATCCAGGGCACTCTCGCTCCATTTTTCTCCCTCCCTCTCTTTCCCTCTCTCCTTCTTTCTCCGCGGTGCTTGTAAACAGAACACTCTCCTGCCAAAGACGCGCACTCCCCATTAATATTGAATAGAGCAGCAGCGCTGATGGGGGCTGCTGTTATGGTATTAGCGTCGGCTCCTGTAAAATTACAGTAAAAGGCTCCCGGGGAAGGAGCGTTAGCTAAGCACATTAGCACTAGACAGCGGTGAAAGAACTGTGCGATGGGGGGAGTTTGTCGTTCTTTTGCTTCCAAGCGTATTCGGGAAAAAAAAGGAAAAAAAACGAGGCCTTTTGATTTGGTAGATGAGAGGCTTATTAGAGAAGGCAATGAAAGGAGTGGCTAATTCAAAGGCTAGCTGTAATAGACTTAATGCCAGGGCAATGGGAGAACTCCCAGCTCAGGGGCCGACTTCAGACTTAAGGCTTTAGCTGCTGACCTCAAGGACATGCTTCTGAGACAAGGACTCCCTGTTCTGCCTCCTTGCCTGTGATGTCATCTAAGTGTGTGCGCGTGTGAGAATCGATCTGTGAAGATGCAAGAGGACATGGTCTAGCGGAGGCTGGAGGGGGGTCTAATCTACAGCCCCGCTGCACACGGTTTTCTTATCCTCGTGTGTTCAGATACCGACTGGCTCAGGAGCCACAGCAAGAGACAATGCGACACACTAAAATCTAGCGATGTCCTGATTGGGGTTTTTTTTGCCATTGATCCCAATTTGGGTACTTATTATTGAGCCAGTAACAAGTCCTGTTACAGTATGTGTTTTGTAATACAGCTGCACAGTGCATACTTCAAGCACAACTTCTTCAAATCCTTGAGACCACCGGTGGTTCCAAAACGCACTTCGTCATTTTCTTCATAACTTTCATATTTCATAAGCTACATTCAGAAAGTGTGTGTTATATGAGAGCTGTAACTGTCTTCTTTCCAGTCAAATAGATGGGTAATGTAATTTTAAACCCTTATGATAGAAGAAGCTGAACTACTGAAAGTCGACCCATTTTTCCACAAATATGGGCTATAAACTATAAACAGATGGCGTCTCTTCAGTGATACACTCTGTAAAAATTATTTTTATAAAAAAATACAAAGAGCATCTAAGATTTTTGGCTTTCAGCAGTAAATTGTAATCATATAGCAATATGTGTATGATCATAAAACATATGTTCTGTTCATTTGAGGGGAGCTTTTACAAAAATAAACAAATAAATAAAATAAAAATTTACATTTATTTCATGCAGTTACTGAATAATTTGCCTTACGATTTGGTCATGTAAATTCAGATGGAAAAACAAAATATACCCTGGGGAATAAGAGGTTAAAGTTAGCAAAGCAGGTCTAATGGGCGATATGGCAAAAATCTATATCACAGTATCACAAAAATAATATCATGATACTGTAAGAGGTTTTCACAATACACAATATGTCATGACCTTGTTATTCTGGTTCAACACAGTAGTAGAGT